AATATAATTCATCATATTCCAGCCGTCAAGGAATACATCAAGAATGTGATGGAAAGAGGACTGGCAAGTGAAACGATGAACATTCAAGAGACACAATGTTCTCAGAAATTCATCTTCAACCCCATTCCACCACACTCTATTGAATTTCTTCCAAATGAGGAGCTGATGCGACAAGTGACTTCAGGGCTGGGAGAAATACAAATTGGTTTGAAAACAGACCATACAAAGAGTACTTTTCAAGTGAAATCTGAAACTGAAGCTTTAAAGAAAGAAAAGCTGATAGTAACGACTAAAACCTCTACAGGAAAACTCAATCATGATCCAAGGGATGTTATAGACGTTCAAATCAAGCCTGAAGAAAATGTGAAAATAGAAAAGAAATATGTGAGAACTGATGGTAAAATAGAAGTTGAATTCATCGCAGAAGTAGCTGGTCAGTTGACAGCAGAGGTTCAAGTGAATGGGAATCATGTATCTAACAGTCCACTAGTGGTGAATGTCAAGCCACAAGGGATGAGAATAACAGGACAGTTTAACATGAAAGGTGTGAATATAGGATCTAGTTGTTTAACAGGTATAGCAGTAAACAGAGACAATAGTAGGATCGCTATTGCCAATTGGTCTTCTCGCTCTGTCCATGTATTCACCACTGATGGAAATCTCTTACTGACGTATGGTAGTCTAGGTAGAGCACAGGGACAGTTGCCTGGTCCTGAAGGTTTAGCATTTCTGAATGATACAGATTTAGTCATAGCAGACTGTGGTAATCATAGAATATGTATAGTGAACACTACAACAGGAACATTGGTAAAAAACATTTGGTAACCAAGGTAACGGTGATGGACAGTTTGGTAATCCATATGGAGTACACATTGATGACGATGGTAACATCATTGTGTGTGATATTGATAATCAACGTGTTCAAGTCTTCACAAGAGACGGTGACTATCAATATCAGTTTGGTTTGACAACACAGGACACGTTTGATCCATTTGATGTGATAACACATGATGGACTGTTTTACGTCAGTGATTGTAATAATCACGTCATTCATGTATTTGAGAAGAAAGGTAACGTACCGACTAGAATATCAACGATTGGTGGACTAGGCAGTGCTGATGGTCAGCTGAATAGACCATGTGGCCTGGCTATTGATAATGACCATCATCTACTGGTGTGTGATAATGGTAATAATCGCGTACAAAAATTCACATTGGATGGTCGTTTTGTAGGAAGGACTTGTGATGTAATCAAGAGCCCTCAATATATAACTGTTTTAAGGGATGGTCAGTTATTAGTTGGTACGTTGGAGTCTGGTGTCTGGTATGTAAAGTAGAATGGACTTTTATCACCCATCACGTGATTAAAAGTCGTGCTTCATTGTGATTGGGTAATATTTCATGGAGGGCAAAACAAAACTCTATTTGCTAACTGGTACAACAAGATCGCTTACGAATTCTTTTATTCCAGTCTTAAAAACCGACAAAAAAGTACAGAGTGTTTTTGCATCAAAATCTAAAAAAGAAAAAGAAAAAAAGAAGAAGAAGAAAAATTACAATTCTCTTTTTTTAAAGGAAAAACGTTTTTATTTTACATATATATATTTCATATTATTATCTCTTTTTTTCACATGGGTGCAATGAATAATATATTTTCTTATATACATTTATATCTGAATATCAGAAGCTAGCTGATTTTCATTGCTCCCATCCCGCGTCTACTACACGGACAAGTTTTCCTTCACAAATTTTCCTTGAAAACGAACTAAAACTTTTCGTGTAGATGGAGAAAATGTTCAGAACTGGTATGCTGGTTTTGAAATTTGCTGTTGTAAAGGACAACAAAATTCAGCTTGTGTAAACAATTTGCTCTTTTAAACGACAAAATTGTTAATGCAAGAGTCTGTTACCTATAGTTTTTTGCTCCATCTGAAAATGGCTCGAAAGGAGACTGGACCTTATTTTTGTGTTTCTCCGCTGATTGAAATTCATTGCGGGCACAGTCAAAATTTCCGAAGGAAAACTTCTCAAACACTTGAATGCGAGGCCATGCGTGTGAAAATCTATTGTTCAAGTCAACGTGGCTGCCGCTTGAACAATGCCTAATGAGAATTGTCAAAGAAAACTTGCTAATCGTCGACACGATATATAAGAGTTGTCAAAGATACTTGTCAAGGAAAACTTGCTCGTGTAATAGCCATTCAGAGGTTCAAGGAAAAACTAGGGTCGAGTTATCGTTGTAGTGCATTGTGGGCTTGTTTTAGAGACATATTTCCAAGATGGCGTCTGTCGGTCCCTAAAACAGCCCCATGATGCACTGCAATGCCAACTCTGTTTTTCTCTTAAACTCGAAATGACTATTACGCAGCTTTATAGTACCAAAAGAGTGAAGAACAGTTTCATCTATTATTGTAATAGCAATTAGAATGTACAATAGCAATTAGAACATATATGTAGCAATATTGGTTAGAAATCTTATCCATTTATCTTATTTACAAAAAAATGTAAACTTATATTCTCTTAAACTCGAAATGGCTATTACGCAGCTTTATATTAACAAAAGAGTGAAGAACAGTTTCATGTATTGTAATAATAATTAGACTGTACAATAGTAATTAGAACATATATTGATTAGCATTCTTGTCCTTTTAACTTATTTACAAAAAAATGTAAGCTTATAGTCGGGGACTAAAAAAATCAGCTTCAAATGTTCAATAAATTTTAGATTTTTCAACTTCAAAATACAAAATTGCAATTTCAATCAAATTTGCAGCACAATTTTTTCTTTAATCAACGACTGGATCATGATGAAGAATCGTTATCCAAATAAACTGAGCTATGTATTGGAAGTCATTGTTCCATTCTTTACCCTTCGTCACACCTGTAAGGACCCGACCTGATTCAACGTTCGGCCAGTTCAAATGTTCAGTTTATTCTGTAGTGAATATTACTAAATACGACTATAAGCTTACAATATTTACAGGTGAAGGTTGTCCCCGGGGGGAGGGGGGGGGGGTACTCTTCAATATTCGCTATACAGGTACGTGCCGCCAAACAGGGTATGGTTTTTAGCGATTCTACTCTAGTGGAACAGGGTATATGAAATCGTGCTCGCTCTGGGACAGGGTATATGAAATCACGCTCGCTCCTCTCTGGAACAGGGTTTTCAGCGATCTTGCTCTGGAACAGGGTATGAATTTCAGGCACATCCCTACCCTAAACGGGCAAGAGTACCCCCCCCCCCGGGAGGTCGTCCAAAAAGAGAAAAGTAATCTACCCAGATTCCATCGAAAATAAAGTTGCTCACACACTCTCCACGACCGCGCAAAGTCTAATAAAAGAAAAATATTGTTGAGTAACCTCAACATCACCAATGCCTTTGGTAATCAAAGGCAAGACGGAACGTAAAACAGTACACATGCTACGACTACAATTCCTAACGTAAGAGTAATAATAATAATAACAGTACTTGTATAGCGCATTCTGCTACCTCAATGTACGCTTGTATTCCTTGATTCTTTGATTGTGCGTTGATCGCACGGCTGCTGTTTGGACGTTGATGGCTCTCGTTTGACGACGAGCTGTTAGGAAGACCTTACTTAAACAGAATATGATGATCACAATGCATACGATCATAACGAAGGCTACGGGGAGTTGTCTTATGTTGTACGAACTGTTGGACTGCCATCTGTCTATCACAAGTATTATGGAAATCACGAGCCAAAGAGCAACGGTCAGTACCATAAGGTTTTTTTTTAAATGTTGGCATGATAGTAAAGGGGACATTCTATTGATAGGTATCTTTCCAAGCTAATGATCATTGTACCAAGAGACCATCCTCCATATAGCAATGCAGATATTACATAAGTGGTCGTCAAAATACATAAATGTAGGCACTGAGAAATGATGCAAAGATTCAAATAAACGAACAAAGGTTGCACCACAAGACCTACTAGCAAACCGGTGAAGGAAAAGACTGCAAGCAGTAGATTATAGCTAGTCGATCGTAAGCGTTCATCTCCAACTATCGTCAAAATCACGAGAAGATTAATGTAAAATTTAAGAGTATACTCGACCATAATTAGAAATACCGTATATTTTTTTAAAAAATGATCATAAATATAAATTAAAATGGCGTGTTTCGAGGAGAAGGCTACATTCCGGGCGTACAGTGTAGCTGCTACACCCCACACCCACAAGAACGCCTGCTTTGCAGGCAACATCTAATCGCCTGGCCTTATTCAATATTGATATGTAATCCAAGACAGATACAGCACAATCCTTGAGAAATCTTTACCATCATTTTATAATTAGAATTTAGCATTTGGTATTTGTTGATTATGCAGAGGAAATGATTCAAATAGGATCGCAACAATGTAATTTCTTCAAATCTCGTCATTGGGAACGGGATTTTTAGCATATTTAATTTTAAGCCTTTTTTAATCTTTCTCCGGACATTTTTGTTGTGGTTGTACGGCTTGTTAATGGCGGAAAACCTGCCACATAGAGGCTCTTTAATGGCTTCCAGTCTCAAGCCAATAAAAAAGCTAGTGAGAAAATTAGCAACGTCCAATCAAATCGCTTGAATAAGGAAGCCATGTCACTAACTAAACAAAAATTTACAAAAGTTTGACCATGTAATGACCATCACTTTAAAATGTTAAACGTCAAACATTTTTCTAACCAAAAGGAAAGTTATGAACTCCTATAAGATAAATTGTTTGGGTTTTTGAAGAGCGTAAAGAATGTTTTAACAMGAAAGCCTTGTCAGAAGCAAGCCTGTAAGGAATTCTGTGCATTTTATTTCGATAATTGCGGTTTCGCTTGGCTTGAAAACTGCTCTTTTTAAAATCATACTAATTTTTTTTCTGTTACGTGAACTAAATATATCGGTCTCTGAAAAATTACATTTCTMGAGAAAATAGACGGCTATAACACGGAGCTCCATCCATAGCTTAGGAATTTTCTGTGCTTAAATAAGCACGAAGTAGATGTGGTCCAATTTTCTTAAGTAGTTCGTGGTTGTGGTTGCGTTGACCCAGACAGTATTCTTATCATTAATAGATTTTATCTCAACCAGCGTATCAAACGTTATAACTTTGTCACTCTCTGAGTATTTTAGCTTTAAATATCATTTAACGATCGAATCAAAAATGACAGGAAAGATGTGAGTGGCGCTGCCACTATAATGGAATATCTCAGCACACTTAGGATCAGATTCAAATTTACTGAAAAAATACTGTGACCGTCCCAATAATTACGCTACAATTTGTTTATTATTCTATACGTCTTAAATAATTTACTAAATTAAAATTCTTATTATATTTATGAGACTAAGATTTGTATTTATAAAGAGTTATTCGTCTTGAATTTTAAGCGAAGTTTGTTAAAATAATTGTCTGATTAACCAGTTTTTAATACAATTTTAGAGTGACTCGCTTTAAGATATAAATTAAGAAATGTGCTCTGCGTATTAATTAGTGTTCTGGATATCATTTCAACAAAAGCAGCTTCGAATTAATTTTTCGATAAGGTATTCACCTCCGGAAGTTGGGTATATCTGCACATTGAAGACAGTGAACGTATTAGGGCCCACCTTGCTCTACAATCTCTGAGGACAAGACCGGCGGACATTCGCTAGAACGGTTGGCTATGGAAGCGTCTTAAACCAAGAAATGGCAAGATATTCTACAATATTTGAATTCTCTAACGCGAGATGGAAAGTCTTCATCGAAAAGGTAAGTACCGTCTGTCAAAATCGTTTCCATTGCGATATTTAGTGTACATGAATATATAATTACAGTTCAAATTTGTTTCTAACCCTAAGATTATTCTTTCATTTTGGTTCCTTTACCTCGTGATTTTCTCCTATATTTTAAATCTTTCCTTCAAACTAAGATCTAAAACATATAACTAGTTTATTCTAATTGTATAAATGTCTCGACAATAGAAAGCGAATAAACAAATGACAATTTTTCTAGTATCAGCTGTCAAAATGAATTTCGAATTTCTTTACATAAAATGTACACAAATGTTACAAGATCATTTCATTTTAACTTTGAGAAGTGAAGCTTTCGAGGTCGCTCACTTTTAATCGCAAAAAAATGCCATGTTTTCTTTAAATATTAGCTTGATAATATTTTTTGTGATTCACAGCTTACAAAATGCTAATAGAGCTTCAAAATGTTGAACTTTCACTCGGATTGTCTCAGCCAATCAGAGTACAATATGTTTAAATATAAACATTGCTACTGAAATCAACACAGTGTATAGCGTGACTCAAATGCTCTTTCACTATTCAGTGAATTTTTACCATAAGAAGGAGACTCGTTCATACCTTTGTTGACGCACATCGAGCCTTAGAGGCTGGAAATACCCGGAAAGTGATTTTATGTTTTTTCAAGTATTATCGTTTCTTGTACACAGAAAATTGCCTTCAAATCGGTATGGAACAGTTCTTTAATCTAATAACTGAAAGTATGGCCTTTTAGTTGCAGTATATTTCAATTTTTTAAATATTTTATACATGTGTATTTATGTATTTTCTTATTTCTAGGCTGGCCAAACAGATTATAACTATTTGGTAAAATCATCCCTTGTAGACGACATGAGTCGTAACGAAGGCAAGAATGGTTGTCATTCATGTTGTCCAAAACTATGTCGACGGTTGCGGTCGGAATTGCTCTTATTCTTGATCTTAATTGGGGTAGTTTTTGGTTTCATCGTCGGGATTTTCATTAATAAACCCGTTGGAGACATCAAGGACCCAGAAAGAAAAGCATCAACGTTAATGCTCATTGGATTCGCAGGCGAGCTTTTCATGAATATGCTGAAAATGTTAATTCTGCCATTAATTATAGCAAGTCTGGTTTGTTCCTTGGCTGCTCTCGACGCCAAAGCTACAAGTAGAATCGGAAGAAGAGCTTTGCTTTACTTTATTGCTACCACAATTCTCGCCGTTATTTTGGGGATTGCTTTAGTGGTTTCCATGAGACCAGGAGAAGGGGGAAAAACAGAGGAAGCGGGGAAAAAAATTGAGGAATACAGAACTCTAGATGCTTTCCTAGACTTGCTAAGGTCAGTCAAACCATTTATCATAAAAATTTAAACCTCGTTTATCAATTTAAAGTCTTTTTACTCCTATAGTTTACAAGTTTGTTCCAGTTTAGTTTCATTTCCAATACATTGGTCTTTATTATAAAAATGTTCAATTTTTATTGTTGAAATCTAAAATTCTTAATCCAATTTGAAGACAAAATTTGACCGAGTCACGCTGTTTACAATAAGATCATCTTAATTCATGTTTACTGTTCTGAACACCAAAATTAATCCGCTCTATCCCACTTATTCATAAACACACACTATTCCTTGCCAGATATTAATCTATATTTCAAAATATAGGCGTCTTTGATTGATATTTTCCTCTTGACTTATCAACACCTAAAAAAAAAAAATATTTTACTTGAAAAGTGAAAATAAAGTTCAAATTGTTGCAATTTTAGCCCCTTCTAGCCCCTGAACTACAATTTTAGTATCAATTTATTTAAAAAATATATTTATATTTTATTATATATTTGGATGAATCGGTCTGCTGAAGAGAGGCGTTCGTTTTGATTGCAATTAGATGTCATTTTTGAATGACCCTTTTGTCTTGTTAATTATTTCATTTTGAACCTTGATTAAAAAGTATTGATATTAGTATTGATATTAGTTTTATTTGTGTGCATTTAGAAATCATAATTAATCATAATATATTCCTACGTATAGATTATCACTTTTTGTTTTGCACTAAATATTTTCATTGTCAAGACCACGTATCATTCCCTTGAAAATATTTTTCCGCTGAAGGTTGATATAAAACCCAAACAAAAAGCTTATTTTATGCTCTACGACAATAAAATGAAAAACAATAGGAAGCCCAATTTCTGTTGTATCTGACAATGTCGGGTCAAGGAATAAAATTATTCAAAATGCTTATATTTCATTTTGTAACTTTAGGTCCTGTTTTCCCAGTAATATTGTGGCTGCCATGTTTTCACAGGTATTGTTATCTTAATTGGAACGATATCCATCTATTCGGATTCATCATCGCATGGATCCATTTATTCCATTCTATTTTGTTAATCCATTTTTTCTATCTGTCAACCCTTATATATCATACTGTTCGTCCATCCGTCCCATCAATTAATCTATCCCTATCATCTATCCCATCCATGTTATCCATCACATCTATCGCTCCCATGCATCCATGCATCCATGCATCCATGCATCCATGCATCCATGCATCACATCTATCGCTCCCATTGATCCCATCCATCCATCCATCCATCCATCCATCCATCCATACATCCATATGCATGGTTCCCGACTAGTGGGGACATTCGGTCACACACCGACTTATGGGGACACCATCCATCCATCCATCCATCCATCCATCCATCCATCCATCCATCCATCCATCCACCCGTCGTTCATTGCATCTTCCTGAACGCGTATCAACCGACCAGCTATAACCATGCACCATCCACTCTTGCTATCCATCCATCTCTTCCTCCCTCCCTCCATTCCGTCAATCAACCATACCCATCTTTTCCTGACATCCTCCCATTCCATTCATCCATTTATGCTTTCTATCCCATCCATCCATCAATCTATTTATATATCCAATTTACTCATTTCCATTTCCTTTCCTCTGCCTAACTATATGACAATTCTTTTCTCCTTTTTTCAGCAAAGGACGAGATACACCAAAGTAGACCCTGTCCTACAATCACGAAACCAAACCATAGACATCAACAACTTGACAAAGCCAGACCTCTCAAGACTAAACGTATTCTCAAATGGCACCCACAACCTCTCAACTACAAGTACAACAGTCACACCTGGATCCAAGACAGTCCCTTCAGGTCAAATGGTGGACCCAAAAGGAAACATGAATGTGCTTGGTATAGTAATATTCTCTGTCGTGTTCGGTATTGTTCTGGGTCGTATTGAAGATAGAGGCCTTCCGCTTAAAGCTGTGTTTGAGTCTTTAAATGAGGTTATTATAAGGATGGTCTCTGTTGTCATGTGGTAAGTACTAATTTTGGTTATGAATGGTTAAGCTATAGAGTACCACAGCATGAAAAGTCWAATTTACACTCCTTTACGTCGATGGTAAAGGAAGCGTAAAGACGCACGACAATTTACGCTGTCTTTAAGGAAAAACGCAAAGAAGCGTAAAGACGGAATTGACCCGTAAATATAAAATAAAGACACGTAAAGTTTCTTTTTCGATCCGTAAAGGCAGCGTAAAGGTTGAATGAAGATCCGTAAAGTATCCTTGCGTAAAGTTTGCTAAAGGAGCGTAAATATATGTAAACTAAAGTTTATGTAAAGTAAAAGAAAAGAGCCTTAAAAAACCGTAAAGAGGGTATCGTAAGTTAGCTTCCTGAAAAAGTAGTAAATGGCAAGGCTCGATGTAGAATCTGTTATTCCTGGTTTTAACAGAAACTAATTATGACAGATCCTTGAAGGAAAATGCCAAAAAATCCGTTCCATTTTTCTATTATTCTTTTCTTTTGTTGTTCTTCATAATGTGAATTGTAATAAATTCGTTTTACGTCAACAGAGAAATTTAAAATACACTTTTAAATGAAAAGATAGTTCAGGAAAAATCCCGGTTTAATGGTACTACGACAACGTACGGACGAACTAAAGAGCATTCAATTTCCTTCCCAATTCTGTTTCAGGTACTCCCCGATAGGTATCTGTAGTCTCATCATAGCTGAAGTAGCTGCGATGACAAACATCATGAGATCTCTATCTCTTGTCGGTATTTACATGTTGACTGTCATCTCTGGCCTCCTGATTCACTCCTTAGTTGTCCTACCCATCATCTTCGTGATCGTTACACGGAGGAACCCTTTTGGGTTTATCATGGGCATGCGCAGTGCGATCATCACAGCTTTTGGGACGTCATCAAGGTTAGAACAATATACCTCTATAGCTTGGGCGTAATGTTGTCCCATTTCAGACCACGTGTCATTCTCTTGGGAATAATATTCTTTGTTTGACTTGTATCCATATTTATGTGTCTACTCATGCACAACCAGACGCAACTGTTAAACAATGAAAGTGGTGAATTCACCATAGATCAGCCCAGAGGTTAATTCAGGGTTTGATCTGTGAGTTAGCCATACCCTGACTTAGATCAGCCTAGAGGTTGTTTCACGGTTTGATCTGTGAGTTAGCCATACCCTGACTTAAATCAGCCCAGAGGTTGTTTCAGGGTTAGATCTGTGAGTTAGCCATGCCCTGACTTAGATCAGCCCAGAGGTTGTTTCAGGGTTCTATCTGTGAGTTAGCCGTGCCCTGACTTAGATCAGCCCCGAGGTTGTTTCAGGGTTTGATCTGTGAGTTAGCCATGCCCTGACCTTAGATCAGCCCCGAGGTTGTTTCAGGGTTTGATCTGTGAGTTAGCCATGCCCTGACTTAGATCAGCCCAGAGGTTGTTTCAGGGTTTGATCTGTGAGTTAGCCGTGCCNTTGATCTGTGAGTTAGCCGTGCCCTGACTTTGATCAGCTCAGAGGTTGTTTTATAGGTTTTGATAAAACTGAAGTTTGTTTTGATTATTTTTGATTTCAGTTCAGCCACGCTACCCACCACCATGAAATGCGCCGAGAAGAACAATAAAGTCGACGCACGCATCAGCCGGTTCATCCTTCCACTGGGTGCAACAGTGAACATGGATGGGACTGCTCTGTACGAGGCGGTGGCTGCTGTATTCATCGCGCAGGCAAATGGCATTGACCTTGGCATTGGAGCACTCATTACAACATGGTAGGGTATGACAGATGTCTAAGGGAGGTGTTTGTAATGGCTGGATAGTCTGTGCGACCTTATCGACGTGAGGGGTCTGGGACTTAGGTCCATTCTTATTCCTATCTTTTCATCCAATTCATTACAGCCGAGTTGACATTCAGAACTAACTCAAGTCAACCAATCAGAATTGGGGATTCGACATTGTATTTTGATTAGCATTTCCCATGATTCTGCCAAGAGACCATGAAATACGAATCCTTTGTTCTTTACATTAGTCGTAATCACTAGTCTAACTCATGTATGGTGAAATTTCATTTCAATCGAAAACAGAAATCTATATTGTATTTAGTCCCTGCTAGGAAAATGCTATCAAAAATAGTTGACCCATAATTTCGTCCGGGGAATGCTAACCAACTCAACGCCTGGTTATGCATTCTGATCAGCCAGTAGATTTTGAGAAACGATTGTCATATTTGTAGCGTTACAGCAACAGCAGCATCCATTGGTGCCGCAGGGATCCCACAAGCTGGTTTAGTCACCTTAGTGATGGTCCTCCAAGCTGTTAACCTCCCTACTAGCGACATAGCGCTAATCCTGGGTGTTGATTGGTTCTTGTAAGTATTTATTACGTAATCTATCAAAATATTCCTGAAAAACAAGAGAACATGCAAAGACGTCTTCCATACCTGATAATTGTTTTTAGAAAACCATTTCAGAGGCGCCTTCACATGCTTTCAGTTCGACCCGTTGAGCTGCGCCACTGCTGTAGTTGCGGTAGTGATTAGGATAACTAGTTTTGATATATTTCAGTGCTAATAATTTTTCAAAAAAATGGTTTTTGTTACCATAGAGACCGTATACGTACTACTGTTAACGTCCTTGGTGACGCCATGGGTACAGGAATTGTCGAGCACCTATCACGTGACGACCTCATGAACATGGACTTCATCGCACGTGAAGAAGTCGAACCGGTCGATGAAGACAGGTTCAACCCACGTGACACGGAAGCTATGATTGGAATGAAGGGAAAACGACGAAACGCTTCTGAAACGTCGATCAAAGAAACGAACTTTTAAATTATGCACGTTGTCATGGTAATATTGTTGTTTCTGTAAGTGTTGTCATGGGAACATTGTTATTGTCATATAGTGATATTGATGTTGTCATGTTTATATTAACGTTTGTGATTTTGTCGTTGTCATGGTAATATTAATGAGATTGAATCTTTAGAAAAAAAATATATATATATATAACAAAGGGAATCATATTACTTCTATAATTTCTGTTGAATATTGTTCTTACTAAACCAAATCAAAATCGTTATCATCTGATCTATTTTTATTTTATTTTTATTTTATTTTACTTATAGCCAACTCTTAGGTTATCAATAGCTAGCGGGTTAAAGAAAAGAGACTACAAAATGTATCGCTGAATAATAAGAGATCAAATCATAAGAAAGGCTAGGAATCTACTACAGGTTTTCCCCAATCATAATAGATCGTCGCTTACATTTTTGTTTGGGCTTCGAAAGCTTGGTAAATCATGCATTTTTCAGCTAAAACTTTCGATTCGTCACCTGATAAATTTATATACATTCTTGTAACTCGTTCTTCAGTACTATCGAAATTAACTTTCTTAAAAATATAAGAAAATGTCACGGTTTGCAACAAATAAACTAATTAAAAAAGAAATTGAAAAAGGAGAAAAGGAAAAAATATAGTAAAGGTTGATTCCACTTACAAAAAAAAAAAAAAAAGAAAAAAGAAAAAAAATCGATTCAAATGTGCCATACCCCCGAGACATCCGCAGAGCTGGGGCGTCGTATGGACTTCGGACCTGACGGCGATTAAATCCTTCTGCCCTTGGGTGTACGAATTACGCAAGAAAATGTTCTAGCCAAAGCATCAGGGGAGAGACCAGCCGGCCCCCAGACCATATCGGCTAATCCCTTGCATCTCTACCACGCACGGAATCGGTTGAAAGTATAATGTTAAAAAGTATAGTCTATTCGGTGCATTGTTTTTACGTCTATTGTTACGCTAATTTCTTTGGAACCGTGGCCCAGTGGAAAAAACTTGGAACTTCAAGATACAAAGTCAAGCCCGGCTGAGGAGGGTTAGTACCTGGATGGGTGACCTGAAGATTCCACCTACTCAATTTTTGCTCGATCATTTTTTTACCTTTTTTTTTTTTCGTTTTCATGACAGTATAGTAGATTTTTTTCCTTCTATTTTTGTCTTTCTCGTCATAATGTATCCAATCCCTTTCTACCCGAATGCTTTGTCCAATCTTTGTGCACTTACTTCTTCACCCAGAAATGCAGTTCATTTCCACAAGGATGATTTGTAAATCAATTTTCGCGATATGGCGTAATCTACCAAGATTCCATATAGGCTAAACAGTGCTAGCTTCGTTGAAGTGATAAAATGATAACAACGTGACTCGGTTTAGTAAAAGCAATATTCAACACAATTATAGAGGACATACGTTTGTTATTCAGTGTAACTGAGAATCTCGTTGACATACAAGCAGTGGCGAATCAAGGATTTTAAAAAGAGGGGTTTTAAAATGGGCGCTACGCGGGAAACGCTAGTAAGATTGGCTTCTCAAAAGCCTGTTGGGATTTCAGTTTTATCCTACTGAGCGTAAAGAACATGTGATTGGCTTCACAGAGTCTCAAAAAGGGGGTTTCCATGGAATTAGTAAAACCACAAGACCCTCCCTTTTATTGTATTATATCATATAGTTAGGATAGTAGGCGCGCGCTGATTGGTCGAAAACTGTGCCTTATTAATTAGCTAGTGAACGGAGCACAGTGCTGACGCCATCCACGCGCGCGAAGTGGTGCTAGATCCTGCGACCGTCTTTTTGCATAAATAAATTCAATACCGAAATAGGATTAGTAACTATACAGTAAAACGAAGAAAACAGTTTTTCCGAGCTCCGTTTACTAATAAAGCACGCAGGAAGTGCCATAAGCACTCAAGAAGTGTTAGAAGTACCCGCCTATGGCTCTTGCTTCTCCTTACACTTCTTTCGTGCTTACGTCACTTCCTGCGTATTTATTACTGAACGGAGCACGGAAAAAGCTGTTTTATTTGTTAAATATTTGAATTATTATTGAATTATATTTGGATGCTAACAAATAGTTAGAATCAACGTTTATTAACTTATCTTAATCGTTTTTAGATATTATAATATTAATTAACTATGTTGTTTGCTAGCTACCGTTTTATATTGTTATTTATTTTTAGATTCCATATAACTTTTCAAGTAACTGAGTATTATAAAAAATGATTTGTAAAAGTATATGATTAATTTTCATTAATATTTATTAAGGAAATTTATTAGATATTATCATAATTTTATTAGAATCAAGTTTTGAATTTTTGATTTTTTTCCTTTTTTTTTCGATGACAGCACATTGTGTTTAGTGTTGGACCAACATTTGGAGCAGCTAATACGATTCGAAGACTTTTATCAGCTGTTTGAGTTGAGTGTTTTTATCTGACATTTTCGTAATTTCATTAAGTGGAGATGCTTACAAAGCGCCTCTTGCATCATATGAGTATAACTTAAGAAATATATTAGCTATAAAGATCATCACTAAATTGTTATATTCTTGTTATACACAGTGTCGCTGCTTACAGTATGATTTCTTTGTTTATTGGAATTTCTTTTCCAGGGCCTTCTTACACAAGAGGGTTAAAAGGGTCCTGGGTACGAGGTATATTAACTAAGGTCTATATATCGTTCACAAAAATATATAATACACTTATTTTGCCTGTAAGCTATTCTAATGCGTATTGTATATAAAGCAATAAACTATATCATATACCTAGTGTGACTTGTAAAACGTATTGCCTCTTGACTGATTTGAGTGGGTCTGGGCTGATTTAAGTCAGGACAAGGTTAAAACACAGATGGATATGGCCAATTCACACTTCAAACTCTGAAAGAATTTTTGGGCCCATTCAATTCAGGGTACAGGTAATTCGGGTTTTGATCCCCCCCCCCCCCCCCCCTCCCGCCCTCCCACCCCTCCCTACTTATCTAAGAAAAAAGCATTTTAGTCCAGAGGTGCACGTGATCGTGCTACCTTCGATGACTTCAAAACACATTTAACTAAACAAACAAACTGTGAGCATGCGCATATGATTTTTCTTATAGTTATGCATGCGCAAAAGCAAAGTATGAGTCGTGTCTTGCATAAATTTAATTGTTTATTACGTTTTGATTTTATCGAAAAATACATAAATGCATAGTTTATGTAAAAAAAGGTTAAAAACTCAATTTTCTCATTTTTTATATGTGTGGTATTTGTCTTTATAAAGCTATTTGTCCAAAATTGTCACTCTTAGGTTGAGAATATATTTGATAATAATAATAAACATGTAAATTAGCCAAGAAGAACTAGAGTCTGACTATAAACTAATGAACAAGTCTACTATCGATCTATCTTAGTACTAAATAACACGGGTAATATTCAACTGGAAAGTAAGATATTATTAAACAAAAGATTTTCGACGATTAGTTGATTTTAGTGCTTTTCCACGGGCGGATTTATTTTGCACTGGAAAGTGTATGCGGTAAATATGCTTTCTGATAATGACAAAAGGCAGTGATTGACAAAAAAACTTAAAAAGACTAGAAATAGAAGAAGAAAGAGCCTTGAAAAGGAGAACTGGATGAAGAGGAGGAAAAATTGAAAGAAGTTAGTAGACTACGTTTTTTGGAAAAAGAAGTGGGGACGATCGAAGAAAACTACGTTTTTTGGAAAAAGAAGTGGGGAGTTAGAGATTGAGAAGGAGAAGAAGGATAAGGAGAAACAGAGGGAGAAGCAACAGCAGAAGTAGAAGGAGAAGCTTAAAGAGAAAGAGAATACGGAGTAGATGAATTAATCGTACACAAAAAGAAATGAAAACTTATCTTTAGTAAATTGTCTGAGAACAACAACAACAAAACAACAATAACAACGAAAATAGAGCTTCCAAGAACATTATTTTTAGTTATCCTAAACACTAAATACATTTTTTTTTTACATTTAATTTACTTTCTATAGAAAATAAAACCAGCAGATTATAAGTTAGCCATTCAGGCAAAGTCGTAAATACGTAGTAGCTGTTGGAGAACCTCGTCCTAATGTTTCTGAGTCACGTGTTATGCTGTGACGTAGTCATTGTTCGCTCTTGTCCGCCATGATAGATAGCTTTTTACTGCTTGGTAACAGAAGTTGTATTGCTCCTAGAAAAAGGCAAAAAATGCAAATAAAACACAAGAAATATCACAGAAAATGATAACAAAATGCAAGTATGAAGGGTAAGTCACATTATTTTGAAACCTTTCTGGAAAAAAAGTTGCATATTTTTTAGATATAAATTTAGCAACGAAGAGTCGTTCTTGTTGTCGTTTGTTGTTTACTAAACTTTGGTTGTTGTTGGTTACTAACGTTTTCGTACAACCCGCTTTGAGTTACCTTCTCTTAGTCAGTATAGACAACTCAGGGTTCTAAACAGTGGAAATGATACTTATTTATTTATCTATTCTTATTGAAGCAAAGTAAAGCACTTTTTGTGGATAATGTTTGAATTCTAAAATACTAAGATTTTTTCCTGAACTGAAACCGTCCAGGGGAAAAAAATTTTCTGAAAAACATTTCTGAATCTTTGGATGAGAAAACTATTGTTATTATCATATTTATAACCATCTATTATTTATTTGTTTATTTAACATTCATTAATAGATAATCTCTCGTTCTATCTGCTAGACACATAGATTTAAGGAAGAAAATAATATAGTATTTCAGCTGCTTTGCTAATTGCTATTGCTGTGCTCAGTCTAAAATTCTCTTTGATCGGATTGTCGGATGGCGGATTTGACTGTGAAGTTACACTTCTCACACGACACGGTCACGGTGCAAGAATGACAACATCCGTTGGACCAATCACAACACTGGACTTAAATGCTAATTTTGTCAAAATACTAAAACACGGTGCTGTCACGCACGGTTAACGCACGTCAAGTGTCTTTAATATGTCACAACTAAGGTAGACTTACAGCACTGTCGACCATCCCTGCTCTTTGTGCAAGATACACGTAACACACGACAARGTCACGGTGCAAGAATGACAACATCCGTTGGACCAATCACAACACCGGACTTAAATGCTAATTTTGTCAAAATGTCAAAACRCGGTGCTGTTACGCACGGTTACCGCACGTCAAGTGTGTTTCTATAGTCATAACTAAGATAGACTTACCGCACTGCCGACCATCCCTGGTCTTTGTGATCGCAACCATCTGACAGTCTGAAAGACATCTATGTTATCTTCAGCCTCTAGTCGTTCAATACTGATGGCCAATGTCAAGTAGACTCCAGTACGATCTGCCCCATCGCTGTTGACAGATGGAGATTTTGAGTAAGCAATATTTATAACATTATAAGAGGGCTTTAAAAACAAAATACCAAAAGGCGGCTGGCTAGCTTGAATCCAAAGAAACAGAGAAACCAAAAACAAAACAAAAAACCTTCAGATTTTAGTCTACGACCATTCAATTGTGATTGTTCAATTAGCAATTCCCGGATGTTGTGGACAAACTGGCTCGATCTGGCACTGCAGCACTGCAGTGAATTGTAACATTGAATTAGGCGAAATAGGCGCCATCTTGGTAATATGTCCCCTAAAGCAATCCAATAATGCACTGCAATTCCTACCAGTTTTTTCCTCCCAACCTCAGAATGGCTAATTCTGTGAAACAATAATAAAACAGCAAAACCAACATGGATTTCCTTAGTTACATATGCATACCTGCAATGCACGATGGTAGGACCATGATCCTCTACGAGCTGTATTTTCTGTATCTGTTCGTGTAAGCACACCAGTCCGTTGACTCGAGGAGGGACACCGTATCGAGGCCAGTTGTGATATTGGAAGTGATATACTAACAAACTTTCCATACTCTGCGAAAAGAAAAGAAAAATACTTTCGTGGAACTATCCTATTTAAATTGTTTCTGCGGCATAGGTACTTTTCTTTGCTTGAGGACACATTTGATGTTGATCTGACATGTACTTGGTCATTAGTTCGTAAGTGTCCTTGTCTTCGTACTCGACAATAACTGAACCTCAGGGATTTTCGTTTGTTTGAACTCCATTGATTATTTTTTGGCCGTTCTCGGTTCACTAGTTATCAATTTTTACTACTATAACTTTACTTAATTTTCCAAGACAATTCTCTATTGATTCATATCGTTAGTCAAAAGGAAATGCCTAGCATGGGACCTAGAGTCCCGTTCGCTCTTTCCGTTTTGGGTAGCATGTTGGTTCTGTAATTTTCCTTCCTGATTGATACCCAATAAGAGTTGTAAAGAATAATGACATCTCCATACAACGGGTATTGAATAATTGTTAAAAATTCACGGCATCGGCGAGCCGTGCCGTGACCGTGATAGCGCCATTTCCAAGCATTCTAAAAGGATAATCAGTGATTTCGTACGCTGTCATCAATTTTAGCCCAAACTATTAACTGTCGGGTTTTTGCAGTAACGGTGTCGTCTGTCGTGCCATATAAAATCCAAGCTGTCAGCAAAAACATTTGATTGGGTCCTGGTCTTGGATTTGACTTCTGAGGGAAGAGGACTAGGGGGAGCTAAGGTATACCAAGCCACTTCTCTCGAACGACAGATTGAAAGCAAGTGACTTCGTAGACGACTTTACCTTTAAGTCGGAATGCAGCTCAAATTGGAAGACTATAACAAAAGGTTTGTAATTCTCAGGAGAATTTTTGTCCTCCAAATTGAGCTGCTTTGGCGTCACATGCAAGGGGTCTATATTCATGGGTCTTCTCGTACGCCACCATTAAACAAAGAAATGATACTCTAGGGAATGACACGTGGTCTGAAATGGGAAAGTATTACGCCCTAGCTAAAACATTCAAATCTTCAAATATTATCTATAAAGGTTTTTATATTTTGCGGGTAAAATTAATTTTGGAAAACATACTGGTGTACATACCCCATGACATCTGAGCTTCAGGACTCGTTGTGTGTGGTCATCCAGTATCTCTTCATCTATCTTGGTGACGATGTATTTACCATACCGTAAGCAGCCTTGCAATGGCCAGTATTGTACACACTCTTCCTAGTCAACCGATTTAAAGACGGGAGTTAATGTCTAATTTGTCCCACTTTTTACTTATATAACACTTACATAATTATCGATGAAAAATCTATTTTACCTTCTCATGTTGAGGATATCTTACTTGTTCGCTGCGCTCACTCATAAGATATCACCTCAACACTCGAAGATAAAAACCGCATCTCCGCGGGGCCATATAGTACCCTAGGCCTCTATGTCTATCAATTCATTCGATATTATATACATGCGACTTGCTCAACTTGCTGTTGGTTTTAAAAACAACTTTATACTTTATACAACTTTATACTATATTCATTTAGTAATTGTTTTATTTGTATTTTGACTCAATCATACTATTATGAATAAATTGTTGGAAGCCAGGTGTTGAAGTTTGTTGTGAAGTGTGATCGTCCGGGTGAGTGTAGTCTTGAGAAAGACTGTTGTAGATGATGACTGACGTTTCGAAAGCCTGAGCGTAAATCATCTTCAGAATCCAGTCAAAAAACGAAAGAATGATATTGATGATATTAAATGATATCGATCATTGATTACTCTTCATCGTTTCTTACTTGGCCTGTTTTGTCGGTGAGTCCAGCGAGCATGACAATAGCGGTACATCGCTGCTCCCAAACCATTTGCCAGAATTCTGTGACTGTGTTTTCCATGGGAGCCTGGGTAGCAATATAGGCTCTTCCCTCGTTGTAACCCTGAAAAATGGCAAGATAAGGCCAACTTATTTAAAACAATGGATTTCAATTTGATCGTCACCCAGAACCAACCTCAGGGCATGGCTAACCTGAAACAACCTCTTGGTTGATCTATAAGTCAGGGCGCGATTATAGCTAACTCACAGAACGAACCCTGAAAATTTTCATTTTTTAACGTCGAAGGTTGCTAATGATGCTGTTAAACTGTCGTTGTTATTGTCTAACGATTAAAGCGCTACTAACAACTTAACCTTTACATCATTTCATTAACTCTTCAGGCAGGAATAGGAACTTTGATACTCACGTCAATGTAGCTTGCGTTGATATAATCTGCTGTCCCTGGATTACTAGACAGACCAGAAATACGAACACGATTACCATCAACTGAAACAATACGAAGATACTCAAGGTTAGTAAGACCCTGGGTTCAGTTGGGCCCCATTACTAGAACATTTGCGCTTATCGGTCATGTTACCCAAATTCACTAAAAACAAGGCAGTTGCGTCACGTGACATATCAGTACAAACGACCAATAGAGCGTTTTCACTCACGTGACAAGGCAGCCATATTGGTATGCCAAACAATGAAACTTTCTGCACAGTTTTTGCATAAAAATAGAATTCAATTCCCCAAGGATAGAAAATGTATTGTTTTGGTACACCAACATGGCGGCTGTGACGTCACGTGACGTAGCGTCTTTAGAAGCAAGTTAAAACAGCATTCAACTTACAAGGTAGGACATCTGGGCATCTGTTTTTTACGATATTTTCGCGAATGTAAGCCACACTTTGTTCAAAAGCTTCTGGTTCGTAGACTGGGAGGTTCTGACAAAAATAGTACCATTAGGTGAATAAGTACTAAATGGTTGAATGATGAAATATTGCTATATAGCATGAACAAAGACGACTAAAAAGGTGAAACTTAAAAAATGAATGAACGAACAAACGAACGAACGAACGAATGAACGAACGAACGAACGCGGAACGAACGAACGAACGAACGAGCGAGCGTACGAACGAACGGACGGACGGACGGACGGACGGACGGACGGACGGACGGACGGACGGACGGACGGACGGACGGACGGACGGACGGACGGACG